AGACACAAATGCATCTACAAGTAAAAGAAATTTTTTTTTAAAACAGTAAAATTTAAATTATTTTCTAAAATAAGTTATTTATAGGAACCAAGCTGGTAAAATAAATACGAAGGTCATTTAAGTTATAAAACATGGAGGTAAAGTTCTTCTTAATTGAATTGGTGCATTTTAAGTGTATTTATTTATTTTTTGGTCCATTTATTAATGTCTGCTTTTATTTCTAATTATGTCAGTTTCGGTCCTCCATACATGATTGCATCATGAGAGTATTTAAACTTAGCTGGACTGAAACCTGAAGCAAGAAGCTGAGAACCAACCAAACATTTAGTTTAATAGTCTCATAGTTATGGCTGAAGACACTCATTTACCTGATACTGCACGGCTTTACGACTCAGTTCATGTTCCCCGTTTGTCAGGATGAACCCCTTTTCGTCCACGGCGTCCTTCTCCTCCCAGGTCTCTTTAAGGACCTGGACCTGCAGGCGGCTCCGCAGGACGATGGCGGCGTTCCCTGCAACACAAGCACAGCATGTGTGAGTTCCTGACACCTGCTTGCGCGTGTCATCATCGGCTCCTGCGAAACGGAGCAAGAATGTGTGCCTGAGGCCGACAGGTTCGAGAACATTCAGTACCTTCGATGATTTGGGTGACTTGAGTCTGGTAGGTGTCGAATTTAAAAGGCGTCAGAAAGCCCAGAGAGCCCAAGTGAAAGGCCATCACTGGTGGAACGCTGTCCTGCAAGCAGAACGAGAGGATTGTTGTTTCAGTCGGAAACTTTATTTTATTTTATTTTTTTGTGAGAACTCCTGGATGAATACCTGAAAGAGTGAAGATGCATACAGCAACGTTCCATCTCCACCAAGACAAATGATGAAGTCCACACGATTAGACAGGTCATCAAAATCTGAAAAACATTAGCAGCAGTGAGATTTTTAACATTCCTGTTGTTTATATTTAAGCGCCGAGTCATCGGGATATTTTATACCTTCTCTGAAAGTGCAAAACTTCTTAGATATGGCTCCAAAGTTCTCGTCTCCCGTAATGGCCGGGTCATCCAGAACTTTCTTCTCGACGTAAACAATCATGTTTTTCACCTGCGGCGACACAAAAGGTGTCACCAGTTGCACTAAAAGGAAGTGAAAGCTGATGTCGAACCGTCTGCAGGTGTCAGGGAGGCAAACTGTACCTCTGTGAGGAAGATGCAGAGCTCTTTGAAAGGCTGGAGCAGGCTGGCGTCTCGGATCTTCTTGATGACAAGGACACTTTTTGGCGGCTTGTTCCATGTCAGTCTCTGACTGGCGGGATCCTGAATGTGCCTGAAAACACACACAGGAAAGAAAACTTTAGGATTTTCACAGGAAATAAACAAATAAAAGGTTTAAGTTAGAGCAAACACTTCTAAACAGCCTGACATAAGAGCTGTTGAGTAACTAAAGATTCATCCTGTTTGATTCCAGCCAATCAGACGCATCAGATTAAAGTCTGATTCACCTCACACGCCGTCTGCAGCTTCTTCCCTCACAACCAAACCTCAAAATGTGAGGACACATCTAAAAAGGTTTCCAAAAAAATAACTTTTATTTATTTAAAATCTCCTGAAACTTCTTGAATAACAAAGTCACGCGGGGTCAGGGCGAATTAAAAGTCATGAAAAGTCTTTTTATATAAATTGACCAATAACCAGATCTAAAGGAGAAACAAGTTAAAACTGGAAAACGGAGCTGCAGGGCTCGAATCTTTCCTGTACAATCAGGGAGTCTGTTTATTTTCATTAGTTACAGACGACTGAGTCTATTTTTAATACAGAAGTTTGTTGCAGTGTTTCTTATGCAATAATGCAGATCTATAGTCTTTGTATATTCACGGTAAAAGAAATGAACATTCAGACTAATACATGTCACAAGTCGGTCATGATAATGAGTTCTTTAGGTTTAAAGAAATAAGTGATGTAACGTGAAACAGGCTTCAGTTTTTTTTTTTACTACACATCTTATAATTTTCACTAATAAAAGCTGACTGAGAAAGTACATAACATTTCTGAAACCAAGTTCATGCAGGTTCAATCACCTGTTCCATCTTGAACAGGCTGAAGATGTTTATCACCTGTGCAGAATGTATTGTTCCAAAAGTGATTCTATTAAGATTAAATGAGAGGATTGAGGAAGTGATGAAAGGAAAGTCTTCATTATTTTAGGTATTTAACTCAGCAGTTGGGTCATGTTGTCGCTTCAGTTTTATGTGTTTAAGCTGGTCATTTAACGCACACTTTAATACAGTTTGTTTAATGCATCGAGTTGTGTTGGAGCAACACCTTTAATAAACCGACCTGAAGTACTTTTACGAGTATTTAAAGGCTTCAAAAAGCTGCTGTTTTTCAACACATTTGTTAATGCAAAGTCTTACTCTGCGACTGCAGCTTGCGCCTAAAAGCAACACAATTACAACACATCCAGTTCCCCATCCACAAAACCACCCGCTGACATCACGCGAGCTCATGTGAAGCCACAGAGGAGTGAGCCCAATCAAGCGTAGAGAAACGGTTTCTGAGAACTCAGACAGGAACAGATGTGTAAAAGTGAGCAGAGCGACCTTCGGCTGCATCAGAGGAAATAAAAAAACAAAAGCTCTGTTAGCGTTTCAGCGGTGATCCTCTGATCTATTCACAACCAGTTCCTGCTCCAGAACCACCTCAAAGCATCCACACCCGGACCACCTGTCTCCTTTCATCCAGCCACCCTGTTCTGTCCATCCAGCCTGAGATAAAAACACTCGCACCAACACATCACCGCAGACTAATTGAAGACTAAGACTTCAGGTGAGATGATCCAAAACAAAAAGATCAAGTCTAAAAGTCAAGTTCAAGAACTCTTGAAAGATCCGGTTCCCAGTTAATGGCTGACCCTTCAAACATGCCTGAGCCCCCCCTTGATAAAGAAACAGAGACGTTTCTCACCATTTCCAGACTTTGTTGTCACTGTGGCTCACTGGAGCGTCCTCCACGACACACTGGTTAAACTTCATGGCTGCCCAGAGAAGATGCTTCTTCACGCCGACTTAGCTGGAGAACGATGCTCTGTCCCGGTCGGTCAATGGTTCTGACTCTACTCTGCCTCTAACAGCTCTCAAATGCTGCACATTTTAAAGCGGCTACAGAAGACTCGTTGTGGTAAAAGTCAAGATGCTGAATGTTTGCAATCAGGCCTCGAGGATCAGCTGGGAAAACCCTGAGAACTGGGCCCGCTGTGGCTATATTTGTCCCTGGGAGGACTTAACACTAAAGCCTCTCGTGCATTCTGCTCCTGAGGTAAAGCTCTCCCTTCTTAAGGTTGTCGACAACTTAGGCCCCGCCCCTCTGCTGAGCTACACTCGCCTGTTTCAGCAAAAGGGCTATCCCTGTTGGACAGGTGTGCCTCTCTCACGCAATACAGTCTCAGCTGCTTTTACATCTGCGCAGTTACTGCAAAGGAAAGGTATTTTTACCTGAATGATCTCATTTGGCCCATTTACGGGGAGGAAACAAACTGGTTTGTGCTGATTAGTCTATTTCTGCTTTATGAGAAAACAGCAGGGTGGACACGAGCTTCCTGTTGCCCGCTTTACTGTAAGGAAATCCTCAGGTATCGAATTTGATTGGACAATAGTTGAGGTGTAAATTAATTAGTGATAGGGCGGTGAGAAATCCAATAAAGCTGCATGATATAAAACATCATAAAATAAGAACAAGGAGCACAGAGGCAGTGTTCTGCAGGGTAGAAATCAAATACGAAGTCTTCAAATGTCACCAAGTTAAACTGTTTTTTAAATACAATGATACATTTGAATAGAAACCCTTTTGATTTGCAAAAAGACGAATTAAAACCTGCTATTTAAATTGAAGGAATTTAAATTTCACCTCGCCATGCAAAAGTTTTAGGCTAAAATGATCTTTGTGGAGAAATGACAGAAGAATGAATTTATTCTTGGTGACAGTTTGAAGCAACTTCCTCACATTGTGTTACGATGAGTGTTAGGATGATGTGCATGACGAACTGTGGTTCAGTTTATCATGTACCGACTGTACCAACACAATTAACAAAAAAAAAAAAAAGAAAAAGAAAAACAGTCAAAATTTAACTCTAAATAAAAAATAAATGCTGTTTTTCTGAGAGGAAATATAAAAATCTCTTCTCACAGCTCTTTTTACTGCTAATTATTAGGGCTGTGTATTGGCAAGAATTTGGCGATACGATACATATCATAACAGAGGGGTCACGATACGATATATCCCGATATATTGCGATACTGTAAGCAAGGCGATATGTTGCGATATATTGTGATTTTTTTGTCCAAAAATTCTATTAAATAAAAACCTCTTACTGAAAAAGAAAGCAAAAAAAAAAGCTAATGTTTACTTACAATGCTAATGCTACGCTTACTCTCTGGCACTCAAGAGGTAGAGGAGCCAAATGGCTGGCTCACTGCTGCCAACTAGTGGTCAGAGGCTGAACTACAACATAAAAATGAAAGGTTGGCAAGAAGGTCGACATTTTAAACCTTCATTAAAAATTGACACAGGGCTTTAGAATATTGATACAGTATTGGGAAATGAAATATCGCGATATTTCAGTGTATCTATATTTTCTTACACCCCTACTAATTATGACCCCCGCACGCGAAGCGTAAGTGGGAGTCATATTGTTTTCGTACTGTTTTTTTTTTCCAGTGATTTTTGGTCAACCGTAGCACAAAAACGGTTGGACCAATCAACATGAAATTTGGCAGGACTGTAGATGAGTCTAAACTACACTGCGCCAACCAACGGTTTGACAATAGACCCCATATTTGAAAAGGGGGCTCCTTTCAAAGAGGGGGTGTCAGGACATGCAAAAATGCTTAGAACTCAGAAACTGTTCAACATAGGAGCTTCAGATTTCTTTTGTTGTTTAGCTCTGATGAAGCTCTATCCATCAGGCCCACCAATCAGTGCCACCCCGCACCCCCCAGACCCCCAGTTAATCTGAAAAAGGGGTATCTGGACCAACAAAAATGGTTATAGCTCAAAAACTATTAAACATAGGAGCTTCAGATTTCTTTTGTTGTTCAGCTCTGATGAGGGGCTGTCCATCAGGTCAACCAATGACCCCCCCCCCCCAAAATAAAAAAATAAATAAATAAAAGGACCCCCACCTAAACCACTACAATTTAGGGATGCACCTAGTAGCAAGACATTTTTTAGTAATAAAGACTTCTCAGTTCTGGTGCATTTGTGCGTGCGGGGGGTCATTTTGTTACCACTATGCGGTATCTAGTTTTAAAAAGGGACAGTTCATTTTATAAGTGAGTCTCTGTATACTTGAGCTTGTCATCTTAAATAAAGTATTCAAAACTAAAGAGACGACGTCCTTAGCAAGTCAATTTGCACACATAGTTCTTTATTTAAGAGACAGTGCAGAGCTGTTTATACTATAGGTGCCAAACACAAGTAAAACTAATTTTTTTGTCTAATTAGTGCTGAAGAATCTGTGTTTTCCCTGCAAGGAAAAATGTTGCACACAGAAATATACGTTGGTTAATTAAAGTCAAGTAGTATATTGTTAAGGCTGATTTTGTAAATTATAAAAATATGAAGTTTTTATGGAGCAGATAAATGACTGCTCTAAATATGTGAGAGAACCACTGAGTTAAAAGAAAACTTAGCGGCACGTCGGGCCTCAGGTGTTTACAGGTTGATGTAGCTTCTTTACAAAAAAAAAGCTCTCAAGTAATTGCCGCATGAAGCAATAGCAGAAAAACAAGGACTGTTGTCATCGACATTACTTGTACCTTCCATAATGACATGACGTGTTTGGGGTTTGGAAAGTCTTAAGTGCAATTATTTTACTTTTGTCTTTGGTGAGCATTGCCCCCAGCAACGAAACGAAATACATGCAAAACGTGCAGAAAAAAAAAACATTTTTGAGACATTTGGTCTTAAAGATAGCCTGGTTTTACAACTTTTAACCCGTTTAGCAGCATTAAAGAAGCCAATCCTTCAAATCGAGTGAAGCAAAAGACAGACTTATGTGAATGGAGGGTGTCACTAGGTCAGTTAGCTCAGGTATTAACTAGACGATGTCATGGGTCTTTCATAACTCGGTGACTAAATGCAACATTTATAGATCCGCGCAGCTCAGTTTGTATGACAATAGGTAAAGTGGACAGGTAACAACCCATGGAGCAAGGTGTGCTGGGGATTGTAAAATATTTAACAAGGCACGGTCATTCTGGGAAGTACATGAAAGAAAAACAATGACAAAGTGTCCTCAAAGTAACAACTCCATCTATTAACCTAAGGTTTGGTGTGATAGTAGCTGGGGCTGATCCCCAACACATATCCCAAACTCTAAGTGATTGCACAAGATTATAGTTTTAACTTTACATTAACTATTGGGAGTCTGCTAACAAAATGTCTCATGAACCATTTGACAGATTTCAATGAAATGTTCAGGAAATAATCACCAGATGCACGGATTACCTATTGGAGCCAATCTAATTCAACCAATCCAATATGGCTACTCGGTCCATTCTACAAATACCGCATGACTTTCATGAGAAAATCATGAGATATTGCATCTTCCCCTCAGTTTAAGAGTCTGGGTGTCATCCTCGACAGTACTCTATCATTTCAGTTCCACATCAATACCATCATCAGGTCAGCATCAATTGTCTACCTCATGCTACTGTTATCCTTGTCCAAAGTCTTGTTACCTCCCATGTTTATTGCAATTTTATTATTTTGGTCTTTCTTACATGGATCCCTGATTTGTTGTAACATTAGACTTTATTTGATAAACATATATTTTAACTGTAAAATAAAGACTGTAAAAATACTGTAGGCTGTTTAGTTTTGTTAAGTTCTAAAAATATATTTTAACACGGATGGAGCCATTTTATTTACTCGCAAACCATTCTGGGCTTACCTGACAGTCGACACCAGCCAAAAGGTAAAGCTGAATATTTTGACCAAGTGTTCCGAAATTGGGCTGAGGCATTGGCAAGTGATCCGCTGTGTTGTTCTGGTTTCTCACACTTTGATAATTGATCATTCTTAGAACTAAACTAATCCTACTCCTTTCTTACTTTTCTTAAGCTTAAAACCTTGTCATATAAGTATGTGCCTGTAAACATCTGGTTTATTAAGATTTCAAACCTAACGTTTATTGTTCTGAGTTGTCATATTTACATAAAGTAGTACGGACGCGTATGTGATTTTTGTGGATGTTTTAACTCATAAAAGCTCTGATTGTTCACAGTAATTTGTATAAAGTAGTTTGTTTTATTCTGTAAATAAATATCATTTATTTTAGAAAACTTGGAACTACTGAGTACGGTAAATTATTGTGTTTTTCTCATATTTACACGGAGAAGTGTTTTTGTTCTTCCCATAGAAAGAACTGGTGATTTCCTCATAACTTTAGTTTTGAGGAGTGTGGAGGCATTTTCCTCTACAATGTTTATCAAATCAAGTCTAATGTTACAACTAATCATGGATCCCTTCAAAGAATCCCTTCATAAATTTTTATCTGGTTCAGAATTAACAGAACCCCCTCCTACAGCCACATCACCCCTATTCATCACAAGCTTCACTTACCGTTCTAACTTCGTGTTGAATTCAAAATTCTTCAGTACACATTTAAAGCTGTTCACAATCTTTATCGGACCTCCATCCTCCTCCCTCAGATCTGCCTCATCTCTCCACCTCCCTGTTCCTGTTGCCCGCCTCACAACCATGAAGAGGCTCTCCAGCTCTGGAACTCACTGCCTCCCCAAATAAGAAACTTGGACTCCTCCTCTTTTTAAAGGCCAGTCTAAAAACCCATTCCTTCAGGACTGTAGATTTTAAACCTTGCAGTTTTGTTCTGTTGCTGCTTTTAATCAGTATTTATATTTGATCGCACGTGATGTTGTTTTAAGGTTTGCCAAAACGACTGCAACTCTGACATGATTTTTGTCTAAAACTCCTGCTCAACACTGAAATTGGAATAACGCACCCAAAATAACTGATTGTGCACATTAGGTGACCACATAGATGCAAACAATAAAGTGTACTTTTCTGTTTCTCTAGTGAGTCAGAGATGACGTGCCGGGTGAACGGCAACGACTTGAACACATGAAACGTTTCACGCAGCTTGGTGATGCAGAGAAATGCGATACGTTATTTGTTAATGTAACAAAAAGGAGCACGATGTTCTACACGCCAACTAAGCTGTAACGTCAGGCTGTGTTCAGCCTCATCAGGTGAGTGGATTTCTTTTATCATTTCATATTCAAATTCAGAGGATGGCTGCACATGCAGAATACATTTAAGTTGATAATTAAATCAGCTGTGATGGAACTCTCTCTGTGCACCAGGCTGAATGCCTTTCTTGTTTGCTTATAATTAGGACTAGCGCCAATATACAAAAATAATGCAAAGTTTGTATAAACATGTTAATTCTCATATTTTATTACCATAAAGGATTGTCCTAATGTATGGACCAGCTAATCCATTTAAAGCCTGTCCATATGTATGACAATTTTACAGGTAGTTTTGACACATTGTAAAAGGAGTGTTCTTCAATCATCCTTGATTAAAAAAATGTGTCATTTATTTTCCATATAATCCATTCTTTATCTCCATTTCAAAGTTCCATTAGGTTCCAGTGTACATCCATTGACACAGTTCATGGATCACACGCTTCACACGTTTCACACGGTCACAAAACTGTTTGCCTCTGTCACTGTCATCACACCTGAGCACTAATGCACCTGGCTTAAACTGGGTGTGGAAACAAGTGACAGGGAGCGTTTTTCCTCCCTCTAGTGCCCACAAGTAGAAATAATACAAACAACATGAAACGGCTCTAACAACTAATATTTGAAAACAACTAATATATACCAGATTAATACCTACTAGAACCGAAGGTTTACAAGAATTTAATAAAAACTGTAGCAATAATGAAGCTTTTATATTTTCTGTACGCTTTACCTTTTTTTTTTTAAAGCAATAAGCAGAGAATAAACATGCAGGGCAGTTGGTTATGTGACATTATTTTTTGGGACATAACATTTTGGGGTTTTTCAGGTTTTTGTTTCAGACTTGAAAGTTACACAAGAGGATGTGAGGACATTTTAGTGAGAAACCTGTGAGTTTAACAGAAATGCTCCGGATACATCAGGTTTTGAATATGGCAACTCTTAAATTGAGAATCTTTTTTTTTTCTATTTGTGAATTTAAACTAAAGAAAGAAAACTATTTTGATCGTAGTATTTCGGCTGTTCCCTCTTCATGGTCATCACCAGGAGTCCTTCTCCTCCATCTCCCTCCAACAACCTTGTGTCCTCTCTAACTGCATCACATATCTCCTCTTTGGCCCGACCCTAGAAACTAGGGCTGCACCAAAAAAATCGTTTTAAATTGGAATCGCTCCATGTGACGTCAGGATGTTTACACATATATACATTGTGTAACCATCCTGACGTCACATGGAGCTGGTTCTGGAAGGAATGCAGGCGCAGAAAGCACCAAAACAAAGAGAAAACTACAAAACTGGAGGAAAGGGAGATTCAACTGACCCCTGTCTTCACTGAATGCAAAGATTTGGGCTCATTTTGTTTTTTTTAAATGAATGAGTCATGAGTTTGACAGGAGCTTCACTGTGTACAAAATTTGCAAAACGAAGATGAATCACTTTAGGAACACGACAAATGGGCTCACATTGAGTTTTGAGTGAAAGAAATAGATTTTGAATCGAATCGAATCGTAAGATAGTAAAAGATTCCCACCCGTTAGAAACCCTGCATCTTTCTAAGCTCATGGTTCCACCTGCTTCCCTCTCACACACACACACACACACACACACACACACAGAGGCTGACTTTATTCCACTTGTTTCAAATGTGGACATTTCTCAGATAATTCAGTCTTAATGTTATTCACCGTACGGTGCTCTCTGAAGGTTTTTAAAAAGGCATGATTGAAGCTATTTTTGGTCATTTAAAACAAAAGTTTGGAACAATGCATAATGTCCCATGTGGCTCTCCTCTCCAGCAAAATGCACGTTCTTATATTAGTTTCTTTTCTTGTTGTTGTTCCGAAAACTATTTTTAAATCATTGGGAAACTTATAGTTTATGTTTGTACACTAACATGTTGTCATGTACTTTTAAGAGTAAAAAAAAAAGGTGCGATTTGAGGTTGCATGTTCACTTGAGGCCTCCGTGTGTTTTCTCTAAAATCCCTTAATTACAGGTTAGATCAGGGCTATTCAACTAAATTGCTTCAGGAGCCACAGTTACTGCAGACCAACAGCTGAGGGGCCGAACATCCAGCAATTAACGTCATTATGTAAATAAACCAAGTATTACAAAGATCTGTTACCTTTGAAATAGTTTGTATTTAATCATGAATACAACATACAGAACCCTATAAAAATAATCCTAATTAAACAATATCAAAACAAAAAGAACACATTCTGCCTCCTATTTAACACAAATAATATTCTGACATCTCTGACTTGTCAACTTTTTTAAACCAATTTTATATTTTTATATTTGACTGCTTGTATTTTTAGCTTTCTTGAGTGTGCACTGAAATGGTTTTTACCAGCTTGTAGCCAAGATTCTGATGTTTCTGTAGACACCAAACATGTCTATGTTTAACTAAAAGAACTAATTAAAGTAGAAAACCAGGGGTTTGGGCTTAAGAGATGAATGAACCAATGGGCGGGCCAAACGTTGGTCTCGGCCCGCGGGCCGCCTGTTGAATAACCCTGGATTAGACTGTAAACTGCTGCACAGTTGCACGTCTCTCTTTAATAGCCTCCTTTACCATTACAGCTTGGACAGGCTCCAAACAGGACAAAGCAGGTAGAGAAAATGAATCCGACGTCCTTCTAAGAATCTAAACACATGTAAGAACAACTACACCGATAAACACACTGCTTATTTGATTTAAAATACTGAGCTTATAACCAGTAATTAGCGACCATCAGATCTTTTAGTGTCATAGCTAAAAAGTGAGGAAACAATAATTAGAGTATTTCTCTCTTTTTGGTCAGACCCAACAAAACCTCAAAGCAACAAAATCCCGTGGCTTTAATGTTTCCAGGTTTGCGGTTAATACCATCCCCACCCACACACACACACACACACACACAAACACTGACTCATGACACAGTATGCGTGTTAAAAATACTCACATTACAGCTTGAGGGTTCTTGAGCATGCATGCTTTCGGGCCAAACGTGGTGACGGGGCTCGGTCCGTGAAGTGACTGAGTCCTCCTGAAGAGAGAAGAAGCAAAACCGTCGTTTTAGACAAAACGAAGCAGCTGGGGATCGGGCGTTTAAAGGTTAAACAACACGAAAGGTGCAACTTTCTTTTGGCTTCCGTCACAAGTTCTGAACAATTCGGAAGAAACGGTTGGCAGTGTTCTCAACTGCTCTGTGACTATTTGGAGAAATAAATTGTACATTATGTCTGAATTTTAAAATTCAAAAAGCAAGGCTGCAAGGCGCTGCGACACCAACGATCAGACTACGAACCAGCAGAGTCACCACGAGACTTTGTGAAAAGCTTTTCACTTTTAGTTCACGATCTGTTGACATTTTCACAAGAAAAACATTTAAAATTTGATGCTCATTGAACTGTGATAAAAACTGCATGAACTTTAACCCTTTAAATGTATTTATTGTGAAGGAGCTGATAGTCGCAGTGAAAAGAAAACCATTTATTTTGATCTGCAGATGAAGCAGGTTTTTTTAAAAGTGGAAAAAAAAAAGGTTTAGTTAAAACCGTTTAAGGGGTGAAAGGTCAACTATAGTGAGATTTCATGGAACAAATGCAGACATCATCCAGACAGCAAATCCTCTTAATCTGATTCAGTGAATTCACACTCTGATGTTCTTAAAGCAACATCACTTAGGATTTTCTAATCAACGCTAACAAATTACTGAGTAATCTTCTTAAAAAAGGACCTAATACAGATAATTATCACCAGCGCTGCAGCTCGACACTTCCTGCCAGAGAAGGAAGAAGAGTAATCTAGATCCTAGTGTTTTTAATAATTACAGACCTGTGTCGAACTTACCTTTTTTAAGCAAAATTTTAGAAAAACTTGTATTTATTCAATTAAATATTTTTTTAAATGACACTGGTATTTTAGAAAAGTATCAATCTGGTTTTAGAACAAATCACAGTACAGAAACAGCCCTACTAAAAATCGTAAACGATTTAAGGTGAAATCTGGATTCACACAAACTTTCAGTCCTTGTGTTATTGGACCTGAGTGCAGCTTTTCATACAGTTGACCATCAAATTCTTTTAAATAGACTAAAACTTTTGGCTGGCCTTTCAGGTACTGTTCTGCAGTGGTACAGCTCCTATCTTTTAGATAGATCTTTTTTAGTAAATATGAATACTTGCTCCTCTCAGGTCCATGAGGCCAACTAGGGTGTCCCCCAAGGGTCTGTCTTAGGTCCCTTACTTTTTAATCTGTATATGCTGCCACTGGGCGGGCTCATCAGGAGTCATGGAATAAGCTTCCACAGTTACGCTGATGACACGCAGCTATATATTCCCATGTCTCGTGATGACCCCCAGCCAATTGCTGTACTTCTTAAATGTATTTCTGAGATAAAGGCATGGATGGCCCAGAACTTAATCAAGACAAAACAGAAGTTTTAATCATTGGACTGGAGGATCAAAATCAAAAGATAATTTCAAAATTACAAGCTGCGTCTTTTCATCCTTCCAAACAAGTCAGACATCTGGGTGTTATTTTTGATTCTGAGCTTAATTTTAGTCCACATATTACACAGACTGTTAAAACAGGATTTTATCATTTGAAAAATATAGCCAGAGTCCTCCCTCTTCTGTCCTTGGCCAATACTGAGATTTTGATACATGCTTTTATTTCTAGTCATTTAGACTATTGTAACGCACTGCTTTCTGGTCTTCCTAAGAAAAACCTGTCTAGTCTGCAGCTGTTGCAAAACTCCGCTGCTCGTGTGCTAACCAAGACCAGAAGGCAGGCTCATATTACACCTGTTTTAAAATCATTGCATTGGCTCCTTGTACATCTTAGAATTGATTTTAAGGTTCTTTTACTGGTTTTTAAATGTCTTAATCATCTTGCACCACCTTATCTGGCTGAATTGTTATTGCCCTATGAACTGCCACGAATCCTAAGATCCTCTGGCACTGGACTATTATCAGTTCAAAGAGTCAGAACACACACATACGGAGAGGCTTCTCTTCAGTACTACGGCCCTCGTCTGTGGAACGGTCTGCCTGAAAATGTGAGGGCTGCAGAGAGTGTTGCAATCTTTAAGAGCAGGCTGAAGACAGATCTTTTTAAATGTATTCGTTGAACTGTATTTTTTCTGATCATTACAATTTTTTAGTGATTGTTTTTATTGTATTGTTGTTATTGTTGTTGCTGTTTTTTTTAAATGGGTTTGTTTATTGTGCATAATTTTGTAGCTTGAGCTGCTTCTAGTATGAAGGGTGCTTTATAAATGAATAAAACTAAAACTACAATTTTAGATTTCTTTTTTTCTTAACAAAAACCAGAAATAAATCAAGACAGACGTTAGGCAATGTTTGTTTTCTAACTTTAAGAAAAGGGAGATCTAAGGATAGGTTTACCAACCTTTTTTTAAAACTCTTTTAGAGTAAAAAGCAATTTGAAATTGGATCCTTGGGAACTTGCAGTCTGCCACACCAAAGACTAAATGACAAACGTTTGTTCCCTTTTTCCTTTAAATAGTCTATAAAAAATAACAATGTTGGGCAAAAACTGACTTTTACAAAACCTTTATGTTTGAGGAAGTTACCTCCCTCGTATCTCTAAAAGGTCACCGTCCTGTTAATTAACCCAAAGTGAGTCACTAAGATTAAACTGAACTATGATTTGAGCTAATATTTTAGATTCTTCGACAAGCATGTCTCTTAATTACTTCCCCCTTGTGTGAGAAACCTTATCAAAGCTGCAGAAACTGAAGATTTACAACATCAGGCTTAAATCTCCTTCATTACTGTAACAGCAGCAGGAACTGAACCCACGCATGCACATTTCTCAAGTGTCCAAAGGTGCTGCAAGGCTGTTTCTAAAGCCCTGCAAACAGCTGAACAGGGAAGTGGTTTGGACAGAGTCTGGTAATTACCTGTCAACGCTGTATTGTTGTTGCTGCATGACAATGAGCAGCTCACCACCTTTAGTAAACGAGTTTCGTGTGCCGCAGGTTCTGGTGACCTGATCCAACCGGACCAGTTGTGGAACAAAGCGCTTCTTTGTGGAGCATTTAACAATGCAGGCAATGTATTTTTTAAAGTGTCTAATTTAAGAAATAAACAGACTAAAAAAAAGATAAGATTAGACTTTTAAAACTGCAAGATTGTCACAAATACATTTTATTATAATGCAACTTAATTTTTTTTTACCACCAAATTATTCTGAGCCAGTAGAAAAATGTTAGTTAAAAGGTGTGTTAACACTGTAACACCTGCTGCCATGAATCATGTAACTGTGTCTATGTGTGTTTGTTAGCAAAATATCCCCTGAACCAGTGGGTGAATTTGAATGAAACTCTCAGACACTAATCCTTAGTTATGCACCTTCAACCGATTAACTTTAGGAAACGACTCAACTCAAAATGGGCGCCACAGGCAACTGATCTCAGAATGAACAAGATGGCTACAGTCTAGTCAGTTTTGTAAATGCGGAGTTCAAGTTTGGCAAGGTGGTAGCTAAAAGCTATCCGAAGTGCATGCTGTGAGTGCTGCACAGTGTGCATGGTTATTGCTTAAAACAGTGCTTCCCAAATTTGGGGAACATCAAGGTGGGGTCCTGAAAAGATTTTCTGAATTATTTACATTTTTTGCCTTAGTTGTTACAAAGGAGTGAGGTTAGTGTATTTAAAATGGATAAATGTAGTATAAAAAAATTGTTACTGTGCCCTTGTTTAGTTGACCTGATACAAATGTTTATCATCCAAAAATATCTGGGGGCACAGGTCTCTGCTACTGTTTTGTACTATTTTGTGGGTCAAAAGCTAAAAGTTTGGGAACTACTACACTTTGGTTCCCAAAGTTGGGCTTGGGACCCAATTATGGGTCATGAAGCACCTTGGATAATCTCCAGAAAACAATTTAAAGGGTAATAAAATAATTGCTGATGTGATATTTTCCCTATAATTATTACAAAAAACACAAAATAAGTGAAAAATAAGTATATTTGTGTATAAGCTGTTTAGATTGTCAAAAAGTCTGTGTTTTTAGGGTTAMTAACYAAGTTCGTGTACTCAGACCAGTAATATTTGGGGTCACAAGTTTTTGCCATGGATATTTTGTGGGTCAGAAGATAAAAAGTTTGGGAACCACTGGCTTAAAACATTAACTGCTGTTGTCAACCCTGTTCGATACCAAAATATTTGAAGAATCATTAATCGGATTTTAACGAAACTCTCAAAGTAATAATTGGATGTACATCTACAGCCAATTTTGGAATTGATTGAAAGATGACCACAAATGCTAATTTATAATAGTCAACACAAACATGGATGTAACTCAGTCAATATTACAAAACACAAGCAAAGATTTGGTGTGGCAGTAGCTGAGAGACATCAGTCCAAGCACTAACAGATTCTGCAAATTATGTAAAAAAAAAGTGATTTATTTTGAAAATTGTGAGACAGGAAGTTAAACTGTTATCCCTACACAAAGAGAAACAGCTGGCCACCCTGATGGGTCTCTGATCTGTAACTGTGTCACAATCTATCACCTGTACTCGGAGTAGGTGGTGGCCGACGACGTGCTCAGGCTGCGGCTCTTCTTGTAGAGCCGACCCAGGCTGCGGCCCGGGACCTCTCCTCCCTCACAGGTGGCGCAGCAGTAAGGAACAGCTTCCGGTCCGCCGTCCATTTCTGGAAGTCAGGCTGGGAAGAAGAAACCCGGCAATTCAATAAAAAAAACATGCTACACTGATGAAAGCTACTTTAAAATAGTGCACAAACCGTAAAAAAAGTGTTTCATTTAATTAATTCAAACATAAAATGATGTCCCTTTACTTCGACAAGAATTATATAGCATTTGCTTAACTCTGTTAAACGACTTTAAAAAGTTTCTCCATGCTAGTGTATTAGTTTTACATATACGTTTATAGTAAATGTAACAGTTTTCAGTAACCTTTCCTTTCCTAGCATATATAATTGGTACATGTCTAAAGTTTGCGACAAGTAGACCGACCGGTAAAGAACTGTAGAATATTCCAGGTGAATTAGCTCAGCTAGTTTTATGTTAGCTAACACTAAGCTGCCGGTTTTAGTCAAGCGAAACACACGGAGCGTGAAAAGATCGACTTCAAACTGTACCTTTATGGCAAAACGTTACGGGGGACGACTGGAGTTAGAAGGGCAGCAGACTGGTGAAGGATTATTTCGCCGGAGAGTTTAAGTTACAACATGTTCTTTCGGCACAGGAGCTGTCAACAGTCAGCCCATGACTTCCTGATCCCGACTGACCAATCAGGTGCTCTGACCGCCGGTGACGTCAGATTGGAAGAGCTGGAGAGCGAAGGTCCAATCCTTTTGAATTCACCGGGCGATAACTCGGGTAGAAGTGTGTTTGGAATCCAGACTCCGCCCACCCGACAACTCGCTTCGTCAGCCGGGTTAAAAATGGTGTGTAGCCAGACAAAAACAGCTGTAGAACCCACCCAAACAAAGACAGGAAACTAAATACTACTACCAATATTAATATTAATAATAATAATAAAATAGGAATAAAATATGGTTAAATAAAATCAGAACATAATAGACTAAATCAAGGGGCTCATTAGATCCCAGTGGGCTAGGAATTAAAATTACATAAAAAAACAAGATAAAAAGTCACTGTAACAAGTAATAAAAATATACTATGACTAAATAAAATATAGAGAATCTAAAGATTTATAATGTGGCATCGAAAAAAGAAAATAAAAAAATTGTTGACCTTTTATTGCCAATTATGAAACACTATTCATACAGGTAAAACAACACATGAACTTTTAGGACACTAAACATAAAGCAGATCTAATTGAAATCTAATCAAACAAATTGAATTTAATTCATACCAAAGTGAAAATCAAATAAATAAATAAACAAACTGAATATCTTACCTGTGGTCAGGTTAGTGAAGCATCCTGTTTTTTAAAACAAAGGCTGTTTCAACTGGATTCTGAAAATTATAGTGTTTTAATACAACTATTTGTTTTTAAGCCTTTGTTTAAAAAAACAGGATGCTTCACTAACCTGACCACAGGTAAGATATTCTGTTTGTTTATTTATTTATTTGATTTTCACTTTGGTATGAATTCAATTTAATTCATACCAAAGTGAAAATGAAACAAATTGTTGTATTAAAACACTGTAATTTTCAGAATCCGGTTGAAACAGCCTCGTTTTGTCCAGCAGAGGGCAGCACAGGACAGAGAGTTAACCGTGAGTGCTTCTCTCAGATAAAACAACTTTTTGTAGATGACTGGCTCTCGTGATTAAAATGTTCAAAAATACATAATTAGCTCCCAAAACCCGCGACTTTGAAAAACCTCTTAACAGTTGAGTCTCTAAAACCACAACTTTTGTTTGTTCTTCAGGATCAAACTGCTGCAGCTCCCCCTCCTTCAGGTGGGATGGATGCTGCTTCTGTCCAACAATCAAACTTGGATTGAGGTCTGGGTTTTAATTGGACCATTCCTTAAACCAGTGTTGAAGGTGGACTTTAGTCTGAGTCTCAAACCTCCGAAAATTTTAAGTTCCTGTCGTGTGTTTTTCCATCCATCCTTCCCAGGCCCTGCTGATAAAAAATAAAAACAACTCCACAGCATAATGCTGCCACCTCCATGCTTCACAGTGGGTTTGGTGTTCTGGTAGATTTGCCTCAGGCAAAGTGTTTTCCTTGACGACCTAAAAGTTCTAGTTTAGCCTTATCTGTCCACAGCAGCTTCTTGTACACATCTGGGGAAAAAAAGTCAGAACGGTCCAGCTTTTCTTCTTTTTTTTTTTTAAATCTCTTGCATTTGAAAGATTTTGCCGCAGAAACATGCAGTCAAAGGAGCTCTCCACGCAGGTGAAACAAGCTCTCCGTAAGCTCAGAAAATAGGAACAAAAAAGAAAAAAAAACTGAGAAATTGAGTGGCAAAATATAGTTTGATGCATCCTGAGAAAGAAAACAAAAAGCACTGTTAGACTCATCAATGCAAAAAGACCTGGAAATTCATGGAAGACCACAGTGGTGGATGACTGCAGAATAATTTCCATCTACCATAAAGAGAAGACTGCATGAAAGTAAATCCAGAGGCTTCACTGCACGGTGCAAGCCACCCATAAGCCTCAAGAATAAAAAGGCTAGATTGGACAAACTTGCAGCTAAAAATAGGCAGGACAATTCTGGAAGAACTGACTGATGAACGATGGAAAGAAAAACATAATGAAGATCCAAATATCACATCATCCGTAAAACATGGCAGACAGGCAGTGTTTATTGATGACAGGACAGAAACAACTGAACTCTGAGGTGTTCAGAGACAAACCGTGGCCTCAAATCAAGCCCAACTGATTAATCAGGGTTTTGTAACACAGATGGACAACGAGCTGAAACATAAAGCCAAAGCAAGGAAGTCGAATATTTTTTACAATTATTTAATTTTGTCATATTACCGTATTTATTCATGTATAATTCGCTCTCGAGTATAATACGATCATTTTTCGAGCTTAAAAGCATTAAAAAACTTATCAATAACCTGTGTATATTACCACCCATTTTATGGATGATTTTTAGGGTTAAATTTCTAGTATTACACATGAATACAGTACTTTTGTTTCAAGGATAAGGGGGTCCTTTTGAGCCCCTGAAATGATGGGATTTTAATGCTTTAGTTCTCACATTTCAATGATTATTTTGTTCAACCCAATGAATTAAAACAGTCTGAAATGTTTTGTTCAAAACTCATTGTGATAAAGTACAGAACCAAAATTAGGAAAACAGGGTCTCTGTTCATATGGACCTATCTGTGAAAAAAAAAAAAAAGAGCAGAGATTATTTCGACATGTTTTTTGAAGTCTTTGCTTAAGATGAAGTCAACAAACATCAGTTCCATAAATTCTAGGGTGCAGTTTAAGTCCGTCTCAACACAAAAGCAGAGTTTTAAATGATTTGTACAGATACACGCAGACAACAAGGAGCAACTTCATGTACAGACGAGCCAGGCTGATTCAACAGTGGATAAGAAATTGTTTATTTGACTTAAACATAATTACAAGGAAACCAAACAGTCTGCAACATTCTAGCTTCAGTGGGAATCGCTCTAAGTGAATCACACTCAACACAGTAGGTCATCTCAAACTGCTTTTTATTACATCTTAAATAACAGTACATTTTAATATAGTTTCTATCTTGCATCCAGCTTTCGGTTGTACACTGACTGACTTTTAAAATTAAATACAAAAGGTGAAAAGGGAACAGTGGAGGCAGGGGGTGAGGGGAGGGGGAGGGGGGGTTGCAGAGCTCTACAGTTATTCGATGGAGAAAGAGAAAAGGAAAAAAGGAATTTAATTAATTTTTAATATTTTTTATTTTTTTTGCCAACTCCAGGCCTAACGCACAATTACAGCACATTTTCTTTGTACAGAATGTTGCAGAGAAATAACAAAATGGGGGGAAAAAAGAAGAAAAAAGTTACTACTGCTTAAAAAGAAAGAGCGTATTTGTTTACAAGGGAACAACAGAAAAATTCTGCCATTCAGATGCTGCAAGATTTATTCATTTTTTAAAAACTTTCTCTAGTAAAGAAGAAGAAAAAAAGAAAAACCTGTTATAAAATGTTTCTGTAAATGGAATTTTGTTTGCTACAGAAGGAATGAAAATTTATTTGTTCCATTTGAACGGCTTATATGTTGAGGCGGATGAATGTATGCGCGCGTGTACAATTTAAGCATTTTAACGTTACTTCTAAAATTTGTGAATTCCTCCCAAATGTGGACCGAGTAACCTTTAATGTTGCAGGGTTTTGCTTCTCGAGTGCATAGCTTTGACATTTCAGTTGAATCCTGTATGCACAGAGTAGCCAAAATCAAAAAGGAAAAAAAAAAGGTAGAAAGAAAAATATAAATACCATTGTATTGATATATCCAACAGGTTATTTTCTTAAAGTAAAACATCAAAAGGACTTAGTTCCATATGCACCTTTTAAGCAATTCTACAGCATGCGATTCTAAGAGATAACCCACCCATGGCAGACAACCAAAATCTTTTTTTTTTATTATTTTTAACTTAAAAAGTTTCAATATCATTATTTTCAAACATTGATTTATACAACATGTCATTCACAGAGTAGTAACTGCATTTCCAAGCACGGAATGGGCACCTCTGTTAAAAGAAAACGTCCGGATTGCAACCAGGCTAAAGTGGAAGTAGTCCCTACTCAACCGAATCACATCTCCGGCTCCACGGGCAACAGAAACCAGGGAAAAAAAATAAAAAAAGACTAGAAGACTGGGAACAAAAAAAAAAAAAGGAAAAATAAAACGATAATAAAAAAGGGGGGGGCAGGGTGGATTATGACCCGATGGGTTAATCTTCATTTAATTATTCTACACTGTTACCAGACAGAAAGGTGTAAGAATGGTTAAAATGTGTTTTTTTTCTCTTTCGTTTTAAAAACGAGCATTCATTTTCATAAACAGCATGTGCTTGGTTAGTTAACTTTTTTTTTCTTTAGACAATATCCTATATATGCAAAGTTTAATTTTGTGCAAACAAAGATCTTGTGGACTACACTGGAAAAAAGAAAAACAGTAAAGTATCATGGAGCTAAATATACAGAAGGGCCAGATGTGGCTCGAGGACTCCCTGTTGAAGCTGAATTCTCTCACTTTGTTCTCTGGTGGGATAAAGCTGGACTTAAAAAAAAAAAAAAAAAAAAAGAAAAATAAAAAGGTCACGATCTGGAGATTTGATTTATTTTTTCTACCAAAAAACAATTCTCTAAAACGTGTAAAGACTAGAAAACAAAACAAAGCTTTGATCCTCATTATAAGCATTAACTGACAGTTAACTGATCTATCTCTCGTCAACAAAGTATCATCATGAAAACAGAGAAAAAAAACAAAACAAAAATAAACATGGTCAAAAAGCTATTAAGAGTTAGATCACTGTCGTGTAATAACCTTCACTCAGACCTGTGCATAATGAGGACGCAGGACACATTTGTAATGAAGCAGTGGTAGGGTGGGGACATGGTTTTTTTTTAGTTATTTTTCCACTAATTACAATCCCAGACCACTGTAGGAGGAATGCACATTTTTTCCCCTCCGGTCCACTTTGAAACCACTAAATTCCTTAAACTTTTTTTTCTCGGTTTTGTCCTTTTTGTTTGAGCTGAATGAGTAGCAAACAGTTGTGCTCTTTTAAAATGAGAAAGAGACAGGAGGAGAGAATTTTTGCCCTTGATAGTTTTTTTTTTGTTGTTGTTGTTGTTTTGGAGAGGGTGTGTGTTTGGAGTCAGTATCATGGTGTTTCTCAAAAAGATTGGATATGCAATAAAATTGAACATTGTGATGTTGGAATGGTCTTGCACTCAACTTTGGAGTCTGGATGCCATCTAGAAAAGAACAACAAGACAAACATAAAAAAAAAGACGTTTAGTTTCACTTTGCTTCCGGTGTTGCACTTTCATGTCCGACACCCAGAGGGCAGCAAACACAAATTCTAGATGAGGATCTATGAAGCTGGTGTGATGCCACAACTTACCTTCAAATTCTAGTTCCAGATCTTGAGGAAGCTGTCCCAGGACCCTGTTGCCACTGCCATGCCGTCGTCGGTCACACCCAAGCAGCTCACTCGGTTATCGTGACCGGCCAGGACACCTAAAGGCAGAGAGGAGACGATATCAAACCCGGTGCTTTTTAAGCAAACGTGCTCGATTTAAAAAAGCAGAATCTTTAAATCAGAAGCAGCAGCTGTCACCTAAACATTTCAAATGTGAGCCTATGAACTTTCATCACCTGTGCTCATAGATGTTTGTACAGGTGACAGTTCTGATTCCATTACAATCAAAACTATACATATTGAATAACGTCATATATAAGCAGTGTGTCTTTTAGGCTCTGAGCAAAACTATGGAGCAACAGTGAAGCTTGGGGTTGACTGAACTTATATTTAGTAGAAAACCTAAGTGATGTGAAGAAACAACTTCTTTTAGACCTCCAAAACAGAATACATTGAAGGCAGTTATGAATAGTGTAGCGTTCACATTCTACAAAATAAAGTAAATAATTACTGCGCTTTTTGAGCACCTTTTTAATTTACCACACAAGGTTCTCTGGGTGGTACAAACTATGAGTGTTCATTTCTAAAGTAAAATGCCACTTAAAACTGTCGGCTCTCTGTCACCGAGTCCTGAAAGAATGTTATGAATGAGGAAGAAACAGGAGAAAGGTTGTAGGATCGCATTTTTCACTAAACTGCAAATTACAAGAGTTTCGTTTTTACACTGAATACAACAAGTGAAAATGACTTCTTCGACATTCAGATGCTCTGAAGTTAATGAGCTTCAGGGAATAAAACATGTCAGTGAATTAGCACAAATGAGATTGTTTTTTTTAAAATTAGAACAGCTATGTAATGATGAGATGTGCTGTTTTTAATCCCTAACTTTAAAGATGTCAGTATTTAACACATTTATGTTGTCACAGGGTCTTAAGACCTGGATCAGGGGTGACACTCTTTCAAATGTCTTTTATTAATATTTACACACCAAAAGACTTGAAATGAAGATGGTTTTTGTGACATAAATCTGATATCAGATGGGCTAAAGGTTGAACCTTATTTAAACCAATTATCAAGTCTACAGCATGAATAAGTCAAACAGCACCGACTCTGATCAGACGTCATATTTGCGTATACGATTTTTAAATTATGAACACTGACAAACAGAAGAGCACACAGAATATTTTATGAGAAACATGGTATCAGAATTTAAGACTTTTACTCAATAAAAGCATAAATTAAGCACATAATGTTGTGGTTTTGTTCAGGGAAAGGTTCTTGTGATCAGAGGAGATCAAGCTCAGCTTTAAAACTAACAGGACTAACAGGACATCTGTTGGATTTGTTTGATTTGAACGCTCCCGAAACTTAAGCTCAATAATAATAAAAGCTGTGTAATGACAACACCATATTCTTGTCAGAGTTTACCCCCTGGCTAAACACAAATTCAAAACCTAAGTGAAGTTCTGACATTGGTACCTTTAAAAGATAACGGTTTAATTATTATTATTATTATTATTATTTGGTTTTCTGGATTAGCTTACTGCTTTGTCTGGAAGTTCTAACAAGTACATGACCTATCAACTACTAGACGTTTAGGAGAGGCGTGTGTAAAACTTTATGACAAGAGTCCAAAGGAGAACAAACACGTCTTTGTTTGGTGACACGCCACTAAACAAACTGTGTACAGTGTAAAAACATTAACTTCACCATACACTTCTTTTTTATTTACAGTAATATTAGCAACTGATGCAAAAAACAAAAAACAAAACAAAAAACAAAACAAACATCAAATCCTCAACAGGATGTTTCTGCACACGGTTAATTTGAAACCACTGTATGTTTCCTTTCGCTTCATCAAATACGACCAGACGTGCTTCACATTCAGATAATTCAACAGAAACTATGATATTTACTGACTGTGTCAGAGTGCAGGCTGTTTATTAGGAAGTGTAGGTTGTGATTTTAATATGCTATGCCACATTAACATGCTGTAAAAGCTTCTTTCAGAGTAGATTTGTAAAGAGAGATTAGCAGAGATAGCTGCTAAATTTTCCAACAAGGAAGTAACAGCAACGCTCACTTTTAGTTGTTTTAGTTGCCCCCATTAGTAAAACGACAAACACCAAAACAGATTCTGTTGTTTACTTCTCTCAGCCTAACTTATTACTAAACCTCTGAGGAAAAAAAAATTAAATACATAAAAATGAGGTTAAAGGTGAAAGAAATCTGATTCGACATCTATGTTTTCTATACGTTTTTTAACAAGAACTTAAATAAAAGCTGACAGAATTTTAAATAGTCAAAGATGCTTTGTTTACTTCATTATAGAATTGGCTAAAAGTAGATATACAGTAGTAGATAGTAGCTAAAGATAGTTTAAATCAACAAGCTTAACAGGAAAAACCTCTCCTTTTAGTTTTCACCGCCCCATCTTTTTGAACTATAGCTTACCTGCGCGGTCGCCCTTCAACGTGTCCCAGACGTTGCAGTTGAAATCGTCGTATCCAGCCAGGAGTAGGCGGCCGCTCTTGGAGAATGCTACAGAGGTGATGCCGCAGATGATATTGTCGTGTGAGTAAACCATCAGCTCCTGGTCAGCACGCAGGTCGAACAGCCTGCAGGTAGCGTCGTCTGAGCCCGTGGCAAAAGCGTTGCCATTGGGGAAGAACTGTAGGAAGAGCGAGGAAACATTTTAGGATGCTTCTTAACATTTAAAACAACTCATTGACAGTAAACGGCGCTGCCCACTTCTGCCCCTGCATGGTAGGCAGGTTTCAAAACTGTACGTTCTTCACGTGCCGATAGACCTGTCACAGCTTTCAGCATCTAATGTGCAGCGGCTACCTGCACATTAGCCATGAAGCGCACAGGAGCCCTAAAGATTGGTTGGCGCTAAGACGGTTTGTATGCAGCAGTGTTGTGTTTGCGCGTGGTTCCGTACACAGATGGCGTTGATGTCTGACTCGTGGCCAGTGAAGGTCTGTCGGCACATTCCTTCTCTGATGTCCCAGAGCTTGGCCGAGGCATCGCAGGCTCCAGACACAAACAGCCTGGTGTCGGGCGCCAGAGAGAGACTCATCACATCGCCGGTGTGACCGGCAAACGTAGTTGTCTGCTGACCGGTCTCGATGTCCCACAGAGCACTGAAAGAAAATGCAGAAAACGAAACATGTTCACAACATACTAGAAGAGTCATTAACTGTAGACCAGGACCTACAAACTGTACGTTAGTAGTGATCTGCAAAACTAGAATTAATGTAAATACCATATAATACAAAAAGTAGTGATGAAATCAAATTACTGAGGTATTTATATTGATGTTGGATTAAACTGTATGGGGTGCAGTATCTGAACTCACCAGGTGGTGTCTCCAGAGCTAGTGACAATCTGGTTGTCATCCAGAAAACGACAGCAGGACAAGTAACCTAAACCAAATGAAACGCACTGATTACTTCCTTTTGATTGACTTTTTTTTCCCTCTTCTTCCCCATATTAACGCAAGGTAAAGATGTAATCATTTCCCTCTGCAGAAGAAGAGGTCTTACTCTACACAGTCATCACACCCACAGAGAAGGCGATGTGAGCTTGATGTGGGGGAGATGAATCGACTAATTCACAACCGCAAAAAGAAAAGAAGCTGTAGGGCATCTCCTGCTTCGTGACTTGCTTCCATAATTCATCCATTACTAGTTGGTAAAGTGTACATACCCCTCCCTATAGTGAGGGAACTGGAACTAAAATGCTGACACACTTCCTGCATCATGTGACACTGATCAGATGAATGCTCCTTGCCTAAGCACTCAACACTTTCATTAGTTTGTAATGGTGTAAGCTTCGCCAACCATCTGATTTCAATTAAAAAAAAGTTAAACTACGGGACTGGAATATTTTAAAAGTAAACACGGCTTAGGACAAGGGCATAAACAAAAAAATGAATGGGTTTCATTTGACTTATTTTTTGCAGAAAGCTTGTGCAAAAAAAAAAAAAACTCAAATCTTGATTTGCAGCAAAACATGCGAAGTGCTTGAAAATACAGCATCTTAGCTTTATGATCAATTATCTTTCACAAACAGCTGTCCTTTTATATGTAACATGTTTATAGTTGCCATTTGAGCCGTTTATTGTGTTTCAATAGAAATATTACAGTATGCTTTTCATGAATGCATTAAGTTGCATGTGGTAGAGCTAAATGATGAACAACAGCAGGGGTAGTTCAATGCTGGAGTGACATTTCAGACAAATTTAAAATCCTCAAGTTTGTTACCTGATGAGTGATGCTTTAAAAACTTAATTTTACTAACGCGTTGCTTTTTATTGTTCCTAAGGCTCAACACAGAATAATATAAATATGCTTTACTGGCAGATCTGTCTGACATTTTATAAAATGCAGTTAATGATAAATAAAACAGAGCTAACAGATACGTCAGGTCTACCTGTGTGTCCAGCCAGCTCACGGCTGACGCGCACGTTTCCTTCACGGGTCTTCAGGTTGTAGATGGAGCAGATGTTGTCCAGGCCACCACAGGCAACATAGTTCCCAGAAGGGGCGTAGGCGCACGTCATCACCCAGGAGGAGCGCAACGGGATAGCATGAACCTGGAGGAGAGCAGGAAGATTTAATATTAGATAGTATGCAGTGACAGATGGAAGGGAGGGAGAGAGAGGAGGGCAATGACACAAAGTCTTGTCTGCAACATTAACTTAACCTTTCAAGGACAATACCCACTATAAATAGCTTTTACTTGGCAGTAACAAACACAATCAACTCAGCATTTTGTCATTTTAAACAAAGCCATCTTCTGGAAACATGAAGGTGAACATATTTCATATTGTGTCACAGTTAGGAGCTAGTTTTGCTTAAAATATCAACTTATTACTATGAAATTAGGTTTGAAAACATATTTGCTCCTGTTTGTGTTTTATTTGTGATGCTGTCGATCTGTGTGGGATTTGAGACTAAATCTTAAGTAATCATTGGGCCTCATGCAAGAACATGTTGGTATTCTTATCCTAAATTTCTCTTACTTTTGTTCGTACGAAGGGTTCGTACGAACATGCCACGTCAGATTCAACAAACTCTTCTATCTTCAGGAGAAGTGTGTAAATGAGCTGCGTAATTTACACCTGTTCTATCCAGCTGCTCGTGCACGCGAGAGGAGATTAGCATAATTACCACCCCAAAAACACCATATAAGGCTGTGTTTCCTGCCTCAGATATCAGGAAGTGTTCATTCATGAAAATGACAGCGAAAATTAAAAATAAGAACTTTACGAGTTCAGAGATTGAAGTCCGTCTGTCAGAGATCCAGAAAAGAAAATCTGTKATTTTTAGCAGCTCAGCTGTGGAATAAAAAGAGCTGCTAAATGTATAAACAACTGTGTTAAATCATTTTCATTTATTCAGAAGACACACCGTTGCGCACCGTAAAGGTGTGCCCCGGGACGAGCTGGAGGGTGTCGCTGGGGAGAGCGGGGTCTCTCTGCTGCTGCCCCCGCACCCGAACCCGGAGGATAAGCCGGCCGGACGGACAATTTATATTGTTAGTCTAATTTATTACATTTAAAATTATAACTAATTCAAGCAGAATAGCCTATTGTCAACATAATCATAGTGTGATTTATTTTCAACTCAAAATATCTTCAAACTAACGAAATCTAAATTATTAGGGAGGAAAACCCGTCTGGATAACAGCAGACTGACTGCTCGTAAAATATACGACAGGTCTGGACCACACGTGAATTTTGTTCGTATCTGAAAAAAAATCTTAGAATACGAAAACATTGGTGAATGCCAAAAATTCTCCTAAATCACTCGTACGCACAACTTAAGAACAAATCTGTGCGTACGAACGGTTCTTGCATGAGGCCCAATGAGTATAACTTTGAGACTCAAAGTTACTATGTCAGAGTGCAGGCTTGTACTTTGTACTCAAAGTTTGAATATTAGATTAGGTTACGCTTAACGTCAAATTTATTTTCAACACTGATAAAATGAGCAAAGTCTTTTTTTATACTATTTCATCTTTTACATTGTACTCCATTATGATCTTTGCACACAAACCACCTATTTTTAACTCGCTGAACACATTTAAAATGCACGAGTGAAGTTTTTTTTCTTTACAAAAAGCAAAATCTAATTTAGTTTTGATGCAATAAAATTTGGATGTTGTTACCTTGTTTGTGGTGTAGCTGTCCCAAATAATGAGTTTGCCATCCTGGGAAGCACTGACCAAAAGCCTGGTGAATAAAAACAGAGATTGAATTCAATCAAAACATGATAAGGTTTCATAATAAGAAAATAAATGATATAAAACCGAGCAGTTTCATTTATAATCTATTTAAAAGACGTCTGTTTTCGTATAAAAGGCTACACTAAAACACTATACACTGTTTGACATACTGTCTAGTATATTTTTGAAATGTTTATAATGTGACCTCAAAAGCAGCATCACAGTACTTCTCAGAACAGGCACTGCTAATCTTGATTCTGCAGTTTTACAAAATGCTTGGAACAATTTCTATATTTTAAACACTGTTTAAAAGCTGTGGACGATACATTTTTAAACAGGACTCTTTCCAACCTTTTTTTTTTTTTTTTTATTCTAGGGAACACGCCTAGCTACACTCCCAGGTGCTTTCATGAGCGATCTGGGTGAATCCTATAAGAGTAACCACAGTCATGGTCCCAATGCACACAGGTTCAGCAGAAAGGCTGCAGGGATTATGACAGTCTTAACCACCGTGCTGGCAAAGATGTGCTCACATGCGCACAATTCAGCAGATAATAAAAGAGAGAAACAATTCCTTGTGCTATGTGTTCTAATCAGGAGAATCTGATTCAACCTTTGTACAGGCTTTAGCAGAACAAAAAGCTAAAAAAAAGGGGTGGGATACAGTTAGAAGCAGCAAAATGTGCTTACTTCAGAATCGGACTTTTCAATAACTTCTGGTGAACTCTAAGAGTGTCAGCTGAGACAATGACGCAATGCTTTGAGGCGCTTCTTGTCAAAACAGAACCTTGACAATAGGACGGATTCCTCTGAAATGATGAATTGATCAATCACCAGATCATTAGAAAAGGTCAGAGGTTCTCAGAGTTCAACATAAACAAGTCCCAGGAGCAGCATTCAAATCCCAAAACACCTTTTTAATTTGAAGAAAGCAAAGCCAGGCAAATGGAGATTAGATGTGATCATTTAGATGTTTACCAGTGTTATTGGAAAAACTCAAATTGACATAGCTTTTTAAGTGAACCCTCAGGTAGCCAGGTGTAGATTTAATCAAATGTGTGTAAATATAAATAAAAGGGAGCCTAAAAACTAAAAGCATAAAACCAAAATTGTCTTGGCTTGATTGGTGGCTAATAAATCTTTTCATGTAAAAACAACAACCAGTAGTAACTTGTTGATTTAATTAGGATTGAGGTTATAGCTTCATCCTCAAGCTTTTTGTGCCAAACATCTACTCGATCATCATTTTCAGAGTAGCTTAATCTCATTAAGAATCTATGTTTATCTAATAAAAACCAAAATGTCTCGGGAAGAAGGTGAAACAGCACAATGCCACAACCAAACTTTATTTCTCTCAGGTATGCAACAACATAGATGAAAAGGTAAGAAGCCTGTTCACAACAAGCTTTGTGTGGGCCAATGTTGACAAGCACTACTGTAAACTTAAAAAGTGTACAACTAAATAAAAGGCTTTATAAGAAGTCAGGTTTATAGTTCATCTCCATGATGATCAGCCTTAACATTTGGTTAAGCAAAGGCTGACTCCATTTTGAGGATTTTCCCTACCCACATATCACATCTCAATGCACATAAACACACAAAAGTGTAGACACACTAAGATCAAGTGACTTACACGTGTCCAATGAGAATTCTAAGCATTTCGATTGTGAAGATAAGAATGCTTCTTACACCATGTTAATACAAAACAAACAAAATAAAACAAAAAAGAATCACAGTTTTAAACAAAAAAAAAAAGGATTTGACAGAGAGCCACAGGAGAAAGCATGTAGTAAAGACAGTCAAACCAGATTTTTGTATTTCCTGCATGTATGCAGAGATACCGGGACTGATTATTGTGTAGAACGGAGTTGAATGAGTTCACCTTGAGTCAGTTCCCCAGTGCATGGCATAGATTTTAGCCAGATGCCCCCTCAGTGTTCGTCTAGTGCGCATCTGAATTCGTCCAACGGGGTCAATGTTAGCTGTGATCTAAACAGGAACAAAAGAGGAGGACAAAGTAGACAATTTTCTGCTTTGTGTACACAAACATTTTGAAGCATAGTTTGTTAAAAGCACTTTAAAAAATATGCTCTGTGTGAACCAAACAGATACCCAATTAAAGCAGATTTTAATATACCGAATTACAAAGAGTCACAATCATGCACAAATGTACTTTTTTTTTTATTTTTTACCTGAGACAGGGTAGCATCTGCACACGCTTTCCTGGCATCCTGAAACAAAATGATATAATTAAGTCACCAAATTATAATTTGGAATATTTAACAGATAGTTTTTTTTAGTGCTGGGCGGTATACTGGTTCATACCGAATACAGTTTTTTATTATTTTTTTACGATATTAATTTTCTGAATACCGGACATACCGGTTTAAATAGCTTGAACACGTTCGAAACGTTTCGTTGCGGCCGCCAGGGAACTGTTTCCCGGGGGACACTTTTCCTCACAGCACCGCTATGTGCATTAGCAAGCTAACTGGAGCAGTTTGTTGGAGTTAATGGCAGCGAGTGGCGATTCCGCTGCTTATATTGATTGGCGTAATTTTTTTTTTAAAAAATCCCATTTTCACCATTGCTGAATGTAGTAAACACCTCTTCAGTGACGTGCACGGTTAGATTTAACATGCAACGTTAATACGGAGACGTGGAGACGCATGAAAACTTTAGCATGGTTCTATTGTGAAAAGCCCAGAGGAAGTAGTTTTGTAGTGGAGTTGAGTTAATTGGTGTGCAAGGTGAGCCGTCCTGATAAGCTTTAATAAATAACACAAAACAATAGACCCAATGATCTTTTTTTAACCCTCCTTCACGACCCGACCAAAATGTGTGACTACTGTCTACAACCACCAACCAGAGAAGAAAAGACACATAGGAGGGAAACAGACACAGACAGAGGTACAGTAAAAGAAAAATACTGTGATAAACTGTAAGAAAATTTAGTGTTCGTTAACTGAAATTGTGACAAAACCACATAAATATTCAATAGATTAAAATGTGAAGTGAATGGTCCATACAACACCATTGATTGGAGTGAAAGCCGGTTTATTGCTGTCTGTGCAAGCAGGAAACCGACGCTGAAGAAAACCGGAAGTCCCGGCGTATAAATACATGCTCTTCAGTGCCTGGTACGTCCACTACTGGCCTACGGCTGAATCGCAGACACTCAGACAAAAAAACTGTACTTGTGTTTGATTAACGGTTTTTTTATGTGTTGTGATGGTGTTTCGGGCATGTATCTAAACTATTTTAATCAAGACATAACAATAGTCGAACAATGGATTATAAAAGTCAATAGTAAAAAAGGGAAACTATGGAAATGGTGTAGTGCTTTTAAAATCAGTATCTAACAGGACTAATAAATTTCTTCAATACCGTGAAACCAATGTTGAAAATACCGTGATATAAAATTTTGGTCATATCGCCCAACACTTTTTGCATTATAAAATTGGTTTCCTGTTCAACATCTATAAAAACAAAAGAAGCCAACCTACAGATGTAAGAAACAAACAAACAAACAAAACTTACTCTGATCTGGTTCTTGAGTTGCTCAGCCTCCTGGCGTAGCTGATCCAGTTCACTCATTTTCCTCTGCTAATGGTGTGCTTTGCTCCGCCGCCTAGACTCTTGCTGATCTACAGGAGACAAAAGAAAAAGACAAAGCTGAACATGCATACAGCGCTGTAGTATGACAAAGTTTAACTGAACAAATAATTTAGCCCCACATCATATTCATGCAACCGCTCGTGGCCGAAACGTGCTTCTTCCTTCAGGAAAGAATTTACAGACACCAACTTCAGCAAAATGCAGCCGAAGATCCGAGTTTCTCATAAATCCATTCTGTGCAGCTCAGACAAAGTGAAAGCGAATCACTTTCAAGACAGCTCAAGACTTGTCCTTGCCAGCTTGAAACTGTAACCTAGCAACAAGCACTAGGCAGCTTCTTAAGGCTTAAGGTAACAAATTTGAGCATGATGTTGAATTTGTTTACTCTTTCCTCCCAAACAACAGCAAACCTTTGGGCAAACCTCTTACAACAAAAGTAGTAGTAACAATTTCTCAAACCTAAGAAAAATGATGAGTCCTGCACATAAGACCCACGACATACCTCTTATTCAAAGTGGAGCAAGGATTAGGCGTACAGACATCAAGACACAACAGAGTCAAGAGACCAACTAGGGTTTCGCCGTACTACTGTGAACACCGTACCTGTGTTCAGGTGAGGGGCAGGGTTTGTTAATGCCATCAATGCTCTGGCTTGTAGACTCTAAACTCCCCTTCCAATGTCATCCCTGTAATCCTGGGACACAGTTGATTCAGCTCCTCCAGCCAAATCCGGTTAAGACAAAACCTGCTGATGATCCTAAAAGCAGTGGCTATCCCGCTGACCCCAATCCTCCTGGTTGACGCTTTTAACACCGATACTTTCACTATCCGTAAAAACGATTTTACTCAAAAAGAAAAAAGAAAATTGTATCTTAATAAAACTGAACTTGGGCTTAAATGCTTGAAGGCATGTAAACATTTAAAACTATCTTTAATCATTTGTGTGATTATAAAAGATATGTTGAGAATTAAACCTTCTAAATATACTATGACTCTAATTTCAATTACTTTATTCAACTAAGAAATCATCTCAGTTTATGTTCTCCAACTTCACCAGTTCCAAGAACCTTTTAAATAAAAAAACGTAATAAAACTTATCTGCACTTAAACACAGCTGATCTATCAAATGAAACAAATACTGCAAACACACCTTACCTCACTGTTTGAGTTTATCAATCCCTTTCTCCTGAAGAGTGTTGAGACCTTCTGAATGAACACCTTATCCTGTATACGCCTGACACCTTAGCGGCTACCTGCCACCTGATTGGCCAGTGCTGCTAAACGATTCTGTATCTCAGCAAGGCTCCTTAGCCCCCTAATCTTGGTGATGAAAATGTCACGATAATTTCCGTGTATAATTCTTGTCTTACCCCAACATACAGAATAAAGCAAAAAATATTGGTCATCTACCTAAAACAATAAGGGCAAGAAGATATTAAAAGTGGAACGACAATTGGACCATTTAATAACTGGAGTAGGTCAAGGACTGTTGCTACATTTATAGTAAAGCATGGTGGTAATAGACATGCATGTTTATCACAAACAGCACTTAAAATGGAAGCATCTTTGCTGGTTTCTATTTAAAAATGCCAAATATTGAAATCCTACATAGGTTGTGAGAAAAATATTTATAGTTTGTCTTTCTCCTGAGAATCAACGAAAAGGGGACAATTATCTCCTAAAAAAAGTTTGAAACAAACCATAAGCTTAGCAACACTGTGACCATTCAGCTTGTTTATAATGTTTAAATTATGCTAAAAACCATGAAAGAAAAACACTTTAAAACATTTTAAAGGGCTCATTTATATGTACTAAAATACATGAGATATTTTACTGAACAAAAAAACTTCATTTTTATAAGCCTGTTAGGAGGTGGGGTTCTTTCTGCACATGTGCACAGGTAATTTATGTGCTGCGCCAGGTGTTAATGGGTTAAACAAGAGAAACACGTGCTCAGTTGGCTGAGGTCAGGTGATCATTGCAACTTATCAGGAAAATTCCCATCTTAACCTCATCCTAAAAAGATTGCAGAAAGTATTAATATATATATTAATCAATGCATTGCAATTTTCATGTTTTATTCATTGGACTTTTTGTTTAAAAAGGAAATGTTTTATAAATGCTACTTTCCTCGAAAACAGATCGATTTCAAACTAATTAAAATTCAAAACTCTACAGCTAAACCTTAAATAAAGCAGAAGCCCTTACAGATTATCTGTATTAGTGGAAGTGGTGCAATTCAGAGAAATCTTTTTCCTATTTTGCTAGTGGTGGGAGTGTTGAAGCCACTGGCAGTGCAACAGATAGAGCCTCGACTCTGCTGCCTTCTCTTTCTACCAGCTATTTTTAGTTAGGTGGTGGGGGAGGAGGAGAAAAAGGAGGAGGGAAGCAGACTTCACATTTTCCAGCCACTCCTATCAGCTCCCACATCTCGAGTGCAACAGTGACAAGGAGAGAGGAAGTGTAATTCGACTCCATACAGACACACAGTTCATTGTTATTTCTTCTTCCCGAAGAGCAATAATCATGCTTGCAACAACTATTTTCACACTATTCTAATTTATCCTCAAGATTTTTAGCTTTTTTCCTTCAAAAAGATAAAAAAAAAAACATTTAAAACAAGACCTTTTTGCCACGTTTCGAAAGAAAATTGGGCCCGCATTAAGTCAAAAGTATTTAATTTCAACTCAGTTTAAAGGTAAGTAAGATAATAGATAAAACACATTGCATGAATGAATGCATGAAAGCTAAACAAAAGCACTTCAGTTTGCACGTGTGAAAGGATATTACCTACAAGTTGCTCTAATGGGGTTTGGCAGTAGATTTCTAGGGCAGACAAGATGCTGTCACCCTGATGACACAAGGAAAGGGGCAGGCAGAGAGATGTTCTAGTGCACAAGAGGATAGATGCAAGTGAGGCAAGCTGGAGGACAGAGCCAGATTAAACTAATGAGAGTGAACAAGCAGAGGACAATTGGGAGGGTAGCTGCTAATTAACCCCTTGATAAAGGGGAGCAAGGCATGTTAAGTGTACCTACATCCAGTGTCATTAAAAGTGGGAATACGCACACTGCTCTTGGTTTCCTGACTTTCTTGAAATTGTGCTTTTTAAATCATTTTATTTTGATTTTCAGCCTAAAAGAATAGAATAGAAACAGCCTTTTTTGTCCCGTGCGGGGAAATTCAGGTGTAGTAGCAGCAGAAGCAGGTACATACAGTCCATACAGGTACATAATATAGTCTGTGTTTATGTGCTTTTACACAACACTGCCTTTAATGAACAAAAACTATGCACTGAAAAGACCCCAGTGCAAATTTTATGATATAAGGAACAACTATGACAAAATGTCTTAAAAATAAAAGCTTTACCAGTGATAATAGCAATGCAATTTGCTCAAGTTCAAATGGTTAGACATGCTAATGTAGAGGAAATCAAAACAAAAATGTGGCATGTTTGGATTTACAACATTATTATGAATATTGCATTAACATTAGTACAGTATTAAGTTATTATGAAAGTGTCAATCTAGAATACTTGGCTTTAAAAGAACAAACGTCTGAATCAGCATTTTCTGTAGGGACAATCTTGAAACCTGCAGCAGTGATCTTGATTTTCACTTAAGTGATTATAAAATTAAATAACAATATAATTTTCTTAAAGTATTACCTAGCTTTCACACAAACTATGCGCACAAGCTGGTGTTGCAAAGGTGCAGTAAAGATGACCTTAATAATTTACGCCCTCCTGCTTGGACACCAGCTATCCCACCCCTCGTCTTCTTGAGGGCTGCATCCAGGGCTTGCTTAATTGTTCCTTTTTTCCTAGCCTTGCTGTAGAACAGAGTGCTTCAAAGTGCCATTTGGGTTGTGGTTAATTTGCTCCCACAAACACTTTGAGCTGCAGCACATTATGGAGAACACTGGTTTAATTGCAAACCAGCAAGTGGCTGGCTATAAGCAGAGCCTGAGCAAATGCTCATTGCATTAACATTCTGCCTCCACCTTAATACAAGCCAATAGTATCAGTAAGCAGGCGTTTCCTTTTCAAGGGTGTTCCCTAACTGTGCGTGCCTCTTCCCCTTGTCAAAACATTCAGCGGATGTGGCGACAGAGCATACTCACTTTACAAATACACTTTGTGGTTTCTTTTATTAGCGTTGACTTGTTAATGTCCATTCAGACCTGAAATCTGGCTATGCAATCAACTGCATTAGAGTAAAAATAAAGGGAGGAATAAAAAGGCCAGGAGAACAGATAGGTGGCACTATATGTGATGTTTGATATGACACCAGGCAAACGCTCTTAAAATTAGCAATGTAATCTTCAGGTCTAACACACTGATGAAAATAAATTAAATTTACAGTAAGTTGTACATAATTGGTATAGGTTACAGATAAGTAAACCTTTTTGACATCTGTGGCAGATGTCAAGGTAGACATTTTAAACAGGATTTCAGTATCAAGGATCACCTCAGACCAATCCACCTCATTCATTTTGAGCAATTATCAGGTGTTAATCCAAACTGCTGTCAGCCCTGCTAAGCAATAAAATAAAAAGTGGGCACAAGTTGTGTAAATTACTGTCAATGTACTTGCAAAATGTACTTTATCACAATAAAAATGGCAGTGACAAGATATAGAATTTGACCCAACACTGTGGGTAATATGCGCTTTTTAACCATCTATTATTGATAACAGTTACCAGACAACAGCCAAATGTACTAATACTTTTTCAGTTTCATATGAAACGTAATGTTATGCATATAACTACTGTTCCCTGAAG